GTCTGCCCATCTTAACCCAGCTCGAGGTGTGAGGCTTCCCGAAGAGGCCGCCCCAGAGGAGACCCGGAGAGATGCCACTGAGGGCCAGAGTGAGGCCCCACCTGAAAATGGGGGCGCTACTCCATACCTAAGTCAAGGGGTATCTGTGCTAACTGATGGGTTCTTGGAATCCTGGCCACCAAGGTGATACCTCCTCTGAGGAGACCGGGAATCGCACCGTGACCACCTGGTTCATAGGTCAATGCTCAACCATTGAGCAACACCAGCCAGGCTGGTGGGTGATTTTTATTCATTCCTCTTCAAGTCGATGCCTGGCCTGGTAGAAAAGCAGTGTTGATACCAAAATTGGAGTAGGCTTTTTAAAGCATTATTATTACTGATTTCAGAGAGAGGAAGAGGGAGAGATAGAAACATCAGTGATGAGAGAATCATTGATCAGCTGCCTCCTGCACACCAGACACTGGGGATCGAGCCCATAACCCCGGAATGTGTCCTGACCAGGAATCAAACCACGACCTCCTGGTTCATAGGTCAATGCTAACCACCGAGCCACGTCGGCCGGGCTGGAGTAGGTGCTGATGGAAACCGGGGCTGCCAGGCACAGCAGATTGTCAGGTGCCATGAGAAGAAGCTTCAGGCAGCATTTCAGAGCCGCGGGCTGCGTGCTGAGGACGGGGCAGAGGCGGGCCGCTCTGCTGAGGGCTGTCCGTGCTGAGAACAAGGCCGGGTCACACACTCGGACGGGTGAGGGCCATGGCTCTTCAGATTCTCAGAAAGACAGGAACCTCCATAAACATTTTTAAACGAACATAAAGGGAACACAGTACGAAAATGCTGTCAGTCATGTAACCTCTGATTGTGGAAATGAAAGAATCAATAGATGTGGCAGCTTAGTGTAATTAAATCTTCCGAAAACTACAGAGTGAGAAGATGAAAGAGGGGGAAAAAGAGGAAACTTAGAAATCCAGCCCAGGGCTCCGGAATCCCAATAATACAAATTCCAAAAGGATAAAAGCAGAGAAAATTGGGCACCAGGAGCAGGTAGGGGTGGGCGGGTCGAGAGACTGGTCCCCCCAACCTTGTAGTTTTGTCTGATCTTTTCAACTCTGTATTACTGATATACTTTAAAACCGTAATTTACATACATTTAAAAAATAAAAAAGTTGCACGAAAAGGTTAAAAATAGAGACTTGAGTCTTGTTGAAGACCAATAAAATGAAAAGTGGGCAAGGAAAAAGTGCTTTGATTTTCCTTAAAGTGGGTATTTCAGGAAAATGACTTCAATTATCATAGCCAGGCAAACGGAGGAACAATTTTCTCTTAAAAACAGCAGCAGTACGGTGGCCGACCTCAGAGCAGGGAAGGCATGCGTTTGTTACCAACGAGCGTGCCTGAGAGGACAGGTGCTCTCTGGGTAGTCAACAGGCTGCCTTTCTGTTCGGGGGTGAGAAGTATTCATGGTTTACCTTCATTATAGCGAGGCTTCAAACATTGTGTGACATATCAAATGATAATTCTTTCACTCAAGACATACTTATTGTCTATTTTGCGCCAAGCATTGCTCTAAATAATCTATAATAATAAAAGTGTAATATGCTAATTAGACCGAACGACCTTCCGGACAACCTTCCGGACAACCTTCCGGAGAACCTTCTGGACAAAGCCGCGGCAGTGGGGGCGGAGGCAGAGGCATGAATTTCGTGCATCGGGCCTCCAGTCTGTTATAGGGACCAGCGGAGCCCCCAGGGCAGTCCCATGAACAGCTGAGGAAGCCCAGGGCGCAGAGGTTGGGTAACTGGCCCAGGGTCCCTCAGCTGCCAAATGGCAAAGCCGGGTTTTAAAACCCAGGTAGCCACGCCTCAGAGACCAAGTCCCTCAGTAACTCACTTCTCTGCTTGTTAAATACACAGCCCTAAGCGTCCAGCCTGCGTGACTGGTCCACATCCCCAGAGTTAGTTGTCGAAGAGATCGGGGGCTTTATGGCGGAGCTTCTGTCAGCCGCCGGATGTTGAAGTCAGCCTCCGTTGGTTGACTGGCCACGGCTGAGTGCTGACCAGGTCGCAGAACCCAGACGCTGTGACCAGTCGAGGGCCATTGCAGGACATGTAGCAGCGATCTCCCTCACCTGTGTCCTAACCCTGGCGCTGTCCATGGTGGGTGTTGAATGTGTGTGCCTGTTGTCCAGGAAATTAACTGCATTTGTAGGTTGTGAAATACAGCCATCAGGGCATGGCTGGTATGGAGAAACATATCAACTGTGGTTTTATTTGACCGTGGTGAGCTGTGGTGTGTGGGACCAGCGTGATTCCCGTAGCGGGAACTGACCTGTTTGTCATTCGCCAATGATGTGGAGCATGCCACCGTATTTCCTAGTATTTGGGAGTGACAAGTTACCTTCAGATACGGATGTGACAAGTTTGGTTTCTGTGTTTTTCCTAGTTCAACTTTGTGGGGAAGCTTCTGGGTCCACGTGGCAATTCTCTGAAGCGTTTACAAGAAGAGACCTTGACCAAAATGTCCATTCTTGGCAAAGGCTCCATGAGAGACAAGGCAAAGGTAAGACTCATTATAGACATGTGGCTGCGTTCTTAGCCATTATGTAATGCACCTTTAGATCATCCACTGTATTCATACGTCTATGTATATAAAAGCCTAAGCGATTGAACCAGCGAATGACTGAACCACTGAATGACGCTCAATTCAGGAGCTGCCCCCTGGTGGTCAGTGCGCTCCCACAGTGGGAGCACCGCTCAGCTGACCGACGGGCACCAGACGCAGGGCTCACGGCTGCTGCCACAGCCCGAAGACCGCAGCGGAGTGGCAGTGAGCCTGTGAGCGGCGGCAGGAGCAGCAGGTGGCGTCGGACTGCTGATTTCAGCCGATCCCCGCAGGCCATGCCGAGGGACCCCACCGGTGCACAAATCCATGCTCCGGGCCTCTAGTATTATATAAAAGCTAACTGGAATCTCAAATGGAGTTATAGGAAAATGTTATAGAGGGTGATGTTTACAAGGCTGTTTGGAAAATTGAGTTACACTGGCCAATTCAGTGTCTTAAACTTGCATTTGTGGCCTTTATATTCACTTCTAATATTGTAGTACTTACGTTTTGTTAAAATGTATTTTAACAAAATTTCAGAGGAAGGGAGAGATGGATACATCATTGATAAGAGAGAGTCATTGATTGGCTGCCTCCTGCTCGCCCCACACTGGGGATCGAGCCTACAACCCGGGCAGGAGCCCTGACAGGGGATCGAACTGTGACCTCCTGGTTCATAGGTTGAGGCTCAGCCACTGAGCCCCGCTGGCCGGGCCCCTATGGTTTTGATTCTAGACACGGTACGTCACTGTGCAGAAAGCACAGGGATACGGACATTGTCACGGAGAGCAAGGCGTTGTCTGTCCTCTCACCACCGCTGTGTGCTCTTCGGACACGCTCCTGGGGGCCTCGTCCATGGCCTGCATTCCATATCGTTGACTTGATAAAGCAGATAGTTTTATTTGCCCTTCCTTTGGTGCCCTATGTATTTTGTCAAGTTAATACAATTGATTTAAAACGTGTTTTTTTAAAAAATATATTTTATTGATTTTTTACAGAGAGGAAGGGAGAGAGTTAGAAACATCAATGAGAGAGAAACATCGACCAGCCGCCTCCTGCACACTTCCCACTGGGGATGTGCCCGCAACTAAGGTACATGCCCGTGACCGGAATCGAACCTGGGACCTTTCAGTCCACAGGCCGACGCTCTATCCACTGAGCCAAACTGACCACGGCGATTTAAAACGTTTTAACAATTGCTTGCACATAGTTATTCTACTTGGATGTGTTCATGTTCACTGCCTCCTTTTTTATTTTTAGAATTTCAAGATTGATTTATTTCTTTCATGGAATTTATTGGGGTGACGTTGGTCAATAAAATTATTTAGGTTTCAGGGGTCCCATTCTGCAACCCGTCATCTGCGTGTTGTGTTGTGTGTTCACCACCCCAAGTCAAGTCTCCTTCCATCATATTTACCCGGACCCTTTCCTCCCGCCCCCTTCCCCTCGGGTAATCGCCACACTGGTGTCTGTGTCTGTGAGCGTTTTTCTTTTCCTTTTGTTTTGCTTTTCCCTCCACCTTTTTCACCCCGCCCTGTCCCCCTCCCCCGTGACGCAGCGTGTCCACTCTCTGTGTCCCTGAGTCTCTTTCTCTTTTGTTTGTTAGTTTATTTTGTTCATCAGCTTCCACATGTAAGTGAGATCATGTGGTACTTGTCTTTCTCCGACTGGCTTATTTCCCTTAGCACAACCCTCTCTAGGCCCATCCATGCTGTTGCAAAAAGTAAGATTTCCTCCTTTTTTATGGCCTCGTAGTATTCCATTGTGTGAATGTACCACAGCTCTTCTATCCACTCATTTGCTGATGGGCACTTCCAAATTTTGGATATTGTAAGTAACATGGCAATGAACATAGGGGCGCATATATTCTTTGGAATTATTGTTTCGGGTCTCTTTGGAGAAATTCCCAGAATCGCTGGGTCAAGAGCGAGTTCCATCCTTAACTTTTGAGGAAACTCCATACGGCCTTCTGCATTTGCCTCACCAGTCGGCATCCCACCAGCGGTGCACGGAGTTCCTTTTCTCCACATCCTCACCGGCGCTTGTTGTTGTTGATTTATGGGCGGTAGCCATTCTGACAGGCGGCGCGCTTCCTTTTTCAGTAAGCCACAGTTACTGTGATTTCACTGATCACTCTCTGAAATGGACAAGTTCTGAAAAAAATGTTCACATTGCACGTGTGCTGCCACGCACGTTCTCCCCCGTCACTGTGCCACTCTGTCATCGCTTAAAGGCTGACATTACTAAGAACCGGATCTGTGTTTAGTGGTCACTTACCGTGAAGGGTTGGACAATGGTTGTGTCAGACAAGAAAGTCACTTAGACAAAGTCCAGCCGCCTCGCCCGCGAGTCCATCTAAATAACAGCTTTCACATGAAAATCACCACCGTTAGTTTACCGAGCAGTTACTGCGGCTCAGACACCAGGCGTTCCTCCATGTCGTCCTTGGACACGTGATGGGAGATGAAGTTTTGTTTTTAAATGTAAGGAAACTGCGGCTCAGAGCAGCCGTGTGTACGGCCTGCTTGCTCAGGGAGGGCCATTCTCTTACTTGCTGAAAGCGTGGCGGTGCATCAGACGCCCATGGGGCGCCGTGTAACAGCAGAGAGCCCCCAGGCCCCGGCCTGTCTAGGTGAATTCTGAGTAGGTGTGTGAAATAATTCTCCTTCACGGCCAGGTCAGCGTAAGGACTCACTCACTAACATTCCTGTCCTGACTGATGCTTTGTTTCCCAGACTCATCTGTCCTGGTGGCAGGAGAGATCGCCTGTGTGAATCCCAGGCTCAGGTTGTCGGCTTGATCCCCGGTAGGGGGTCATGCAGGAGGCAGCCAGTGATGTGTTACTCCCACATCGATGTTTCTCTCTCTCTCTCTCTCTCTCTCTCTCTCCCGCTCCCTTTCTCCTTCTCTAAAATCGATAAAAAAAATCTTAAGAAAAAAAGATAAAGATGATGTAGCAAAATCACTGGTCCCTTAATTATCTGGTTTTTTCCTCCTGATTTCCCCCTAAATTTCATTGTGTAAACAACCAGCAATAAATTAGAAGATGTGCATCACGATTACGTACAATCATCTAATGAAGCCCACCATTGGCCTTGTTCACCGTTGTGTCCTCAGGGAGGGTATAGTGCCTGGCATGTGGAAACGCTTTTGAATGACGCCTGCATCAGCCAGTGGCCGTAGACATGAATAGATAACTAGTCACTCACTTAGTGAGTATCTGTTGAGCATCTGCTCTGTGTGAGCCCTTTTCTGAGTAAGAAGGTTGCAGCACCAAGAGGAATTGGCAGCTGTCACAAGTGGGGTTTGTGCTCCATGCAATCGCTGCAGCGAGAGGGGTTAGGCAAGGGCCGAGGGACAGGAAGGGCGCGTAGGCATTTTGGAGGTTGGTCAGGACTTTATCGAGGCACCGCGGGCACACAGCCTGACCAGTGCAGGAGCGAGCTGGGCCGCAGCAGGTCTGTGCAGAGCCTGGAGGGGCCTGAGGAGGCAGGAAGCCCAGCGGGGGGCCGAGGGCAGAGGTGGGGCTCCCAGGCCCCAGACAGGAGCTGAGACTGAGTACCAGACAGAAGCCTGGGCGTTTTCCTAAAAGCCTGGGGTCAGAATGGCAGGACCCGTTTACACTTGAACTCTCTTCCTCAGGTGGTGTTGGCTCTGGGCGGACCCTCTGGGACAGCCACGTACAAAGAGCTCTGGGTAGATTTCCTCGTCTCCCTCTCTCCTCCCGAGGACACATCCTCCCACCAG